GCTCCAGATAGTTGGAAATTTTCTGTAGAATTGTATTATAGTTAAGTAGGGCCACATCTTTTAGTGAAGGAACTATTTTAATGCCTAGATAAGTGAATTCAGAATTAACACTAAAGCCAGATATATTCTGACTTACGTTTTGACTATATTCTTGTTTAAGTACCATTAATGATGATTTTGTTACATTTATTTTCTACCCTGAGAAGGCCCCAAACCGGTCTATTAAATCCTTTACTGCAGGCACAGAAAATTTTAGTTGCTTTAAAAATAATATGACATCATCATCAAATAAAGCGATTCTATGCTCCTTTCTACCAATCGTAACACCTTGTATTTGTCCACTGGTTCTAACACCTATTCCCAAAGGTTCAATAGCTAAAAGGAATAAAAGTGGAGATAATGGTGAACCCTGCAGGCACCCTCTTTTAATCTCAAATGGTTCTGAAATTATCTCATTAGTCATAACCTGAGGAACAGAATGACAGTGCAGTAGTTTGATCCAATGCAAAAATTATTTACCAAACCCAAATCTAACAATGACATCAAAGAGATATGGCTGTTCGATTCGATCAAAATCCTTCTCCGCTTTGAGCGAGGGAATGGCTGTATCTTCCTGTTCACTTTGATTATGAAGAATGTTGAGGACTAGTCTTACATCATGAAAACCCTGCTTATATTTAACAAATCCATTTTGATCATCTCCTATAATAACTGGAAAAACATTTTCTAATCTTTTGGAGAGAATTTTATTATCTGTATTGACTAAGCCTATAGGACGCATGTTTTCACATTTGCTAGTTTTCCAGGTTTAGGAACATTCTATATACATATCTAAGAGAGGCTGTGCTAATTTATCTTTAAAGTATTTGTAAAGGTCAATTGGCAATCTGTCTGGGCCAGCTATTTTACAAGCATTTAGAGAGTTTATAGCATCAATAATTCCATGTATACTGATTTGCCTGTCAACATTTTCTTTGCCTTCCACGATCTCTGTAACTTAAGCACTTAATTATGAAAGTTCTCGATCGGTTTGCAATAGAACTTTGACTTGTGGTTATCCTGTGTGCTCTCTCAAGGACAGGAGGGGGGATTTTCAAAATGTCCGCTATAAACTTCTCCATGAAAGTACACGCATCTGTACCTTCTTCTTTCTCAGGTAATATTAATTCTATGTATTATTGGGAAAACAAGCCAAAAATAATTTTGTTTGGCGATTTTGATTGTATTAACATTGTCTGTACTTTGATGTGCCCTGAATAGCAAAGCACAGAAAAACCAAAGTTGAACTTTTTTTCTCAAAATCTTAGACTTATATTCTCAATTGATATTTTTATTTCTGTCTACTGCCACTTGTTAATTCGTAGTCCTAGAAACACTCTGGAAACATAATTCCAATAATCTTAAATTAAAATTTGGATCACTAAATGATATCTACCATTCTGCTGCAAAATTTGTCCCATGATTCAGGAGGTTTTTTAATCTTATAATTTACTAGCTGCTTTTTTTTGCATATTATTTTTATTTATATATTGTTTTATGCACTCACTGGTGCCCTATATGTAATTGATATTTGGTTTATGGTCAATGGTCAATGGTAACTTTATTGTCCCTGATGGGAAATTGATTCGCAGTATGTCAAAACAAACAACAAACATACAACCAACACATCACGTACACTCATTAAAAAAATACTATAATATAATATAAGCCTGATAAAACAACCTAGATTTTCCATCGAAAAAAGTGCAATGTGCAATGGCAACAACACTTACAATTTAGTGTTGTTAATTAAGATAATAGCACTAGGTACAAACGACAATTTGTGTCGCTTTGTCTTCACTGCAGTCATTTTATAACGACGACCTGATGGAAGCAGTTGAAAATTAAAGAGAGGATGATCTGAAACAACAGGACAGATTTAAATATATTATTTTTTTTTATATTTAATTGATAAAAATAAAATAATATATATAAATTCATAAAAATTATATAATTTAATTTATTATTTTAAAATAATATAATATAAATAAAACTGCAGTCATTTTATAACGACGACCTGATGGAAGCAGTTGAAAATCGTTAAAGAGAGGATGATCTGAACACAACAGGACAGAAGTTGCCTTCCTCAGCACCTGCCTGTTATAAAAGTCCACAAGCTGGACCTGAGACCTCCCTGAAATCTTGCCCGCCACTTTAACCAGATTGTTAAGTCTGGTCTTATTATCCATGGACATACTACCGTACCAAGCAATGATACAGAAAGTTAAAACAGATTCAATAAAACTTTTATAAAAGAGAGTCATCATTTCAGATGAAACATTAAAACCTCTCAACCTCCTTAAAAAGTACAGTCTTTGTTGGGCCTTTTTCACTGTAGCAGCAAGATGTGACTCAAAGGACAGGGTCTTATCAAGAACAACCCCCAAGTACTTGTAACTATCCACCATTTCAATGGCTGCACCATTTACCACTGTAAGCGCAGGATGAGGGGATGACTTCCTGAAATCAATAACCATGTCCTTGGTTTTCAAGGTGTTAATCATTAAGAAGGACTGATCACACCATGAAACAAACTCCTCCACAACAGGCCCATGGGAATCCTCTTCACCATGAAGGAGGCTTACAATGACTGTGTCATCTGCGTATTTGATGAAATGCCTATTGGCCTGTGTGCTGCGACAGTCATTAGTGTACAAAATATACAAAAGAGGAGAGAGACAACAACCTTGTGGTGAGCCAGTGGAAGAGTTCAGCTGTTTGGAAAAACAGCCGTTTATTCTCACACACTGTGATCTATCAGTTAAGAAGTCTAAGATCCAACCAACGAGATTAAAATTAAGTTTAAATTGGTTAAGAAGCTTGTCCACTAAAAGATGTGGCTGGATAGTATTAAAAGCAGAAGAAAAATCGATAAATAAAAGCCGAGCATGAGCTTTGGCGCCATCAAGATGGCGATAAAGGAAGTTCAACAGAGTGACCACTGCATCATCCACACCTCTACAAGGCCTGTATGCAAATTGTAGTGGATCTATCAGCTTCTCTACTTGCTGCAGGATCTCCTTCCTGACAAGTTTTTCGAAGGACTTCATCACTAAAGATGTAAGAGCAACAGGCCTAAAATCATTTAATGATGTAGGTTTTGTGGTCTTAGCAACTGGAGAAATAATTGATTTTTTCCATACCTCTGGAACCTTCTGTTGCTGAAGAGATAAAAGAAAGATGTGATAACATAACATAAATCCAGAGTCTTATTGAAGCGAGTGGGACAGTGCACATACTGATAAAAACTGCTCAGTGTTTTCTTCAAGTCGCAGCGATTAAAGTCCCCAAGAACAATATTAGGGGCTTCAGGAGAGAGAGATTGTAGAGAGTGGATAGCATTGGAGATGGTGTCAGTCGCATTCTTAGGATTCGCTTTGGGGTGGATGTAAACGACGGTGACGTTGATCTGTGGGAATTCCCTCGGCAGATAAAACGGCCTCAAAGACACAGAGAGGAGCTCAATGTCAGGCAGACACACTTGTCTACGAACGGTCACGTTTTTACACCATTTCTGATTTATATACAAACACACCCCTCCTCCTTGCGATTTCTGGGTAGCTCCGGGGTCTCGATCCAAACGTATGGGAACCCCGAAGCCATTTAATTCCAGAGAACAATCAGGGTCAGAATCCTTGAGCCAAGTCTCTGTGAATGCCATTAGACATGCATCCCTGTAGTCACGTAAATGTGCAACATTCAAATGCAGTTCATCTAATTTACTCCTCAGAGACTGCACATTAGCCAGGATTATTGATGGTAAAGGAATACGGTTGTACCGTATTTGCTTCCGCAATCGCTGACGTAGGCCTCCCTTCTTACCCCGCTTCCTTGCTTTGACTCTGTTAAAAACAAAAGTGCCCCTGTGATTACTGGATAATCCAGAGCTGGAAAACACTGGAGGGTGAAAAGAGTCCAAAGACGGGCCTGTCCACCGAAGATCCAGAAGAAACTCCCGTGAGTATGTAATTGTGTGGGAGTAGCACTGACTCCAAACAACCGTCAGGATTGCCAATAAAACCAAGCGAAATAAAAAACCCATCTTCAACAAAAGAAGTTCCACAAAGCACAAGCCGATGCTGTAGGATTTCCTCAGGCAAAAAAAAAGAAAGAAAAATAAGATAAAATAAAGGAATAAAAAATAAGTTAAGACACTGACACTGACAGACAGAGACAACCTGCTGGTCGCCGCAAGAGCAGCGCCCTGAAACTCTTTGGTTTAATTTATACACTCCATGCTAATGTTTTTAGCCTTTCAGAGGTAAAAACTCCTTTTGTTTTTAGTCACTACTGGTATTATTGGAAAGACAAATTGAAAAAGTTTGCAACATTGAAAAAAAATATAGTGATTTTAATAATAAGTAACAAACCCAAAACACACGTTTGAAAAAAAATTATTTCATTTTTATTTTCTTGCTTCTTTTTCATTAAAGCAGTCCTTTTTGAAATGTTCTTTGTAGCTCCATCTCTTTCGGTGATGAATAATGCCACTGTCCTCTTTATCTACTCACCTTTGACGTTCTTCTTCACATCTCTCATGTAATTTTACCATTTCACCATTTTAAAGTATTTTTTGTATACATTTTTGTGTTAGTATTTCTTAAGAGAAATTAAAGCCAGATAAAAGCAACATAAAACATAACAAAATGAAATCCATGCAGTGGAAGCTTTCATCATCAATCTTCTACTCACTCTGTATCAGTAAGGGAGTCTCCTTCTCCACTTTCCTATTTGAAACTCTTATACCACCTCATTCTCAAGTTACCACATTCACAAACTTGGGTGTTCATCCACCAACCTGACAGGGTGATGCCAAAACCCCATCGGCCATTTATGGCTGAGGGGTAAAAACTCTGAGATACCAATTTGTTATGTGTGCAGTACATGTGTGCATTTTGTATCTTATAAGTCAGATATTAAAATGTTAACTTTAGGCTGATATTAAGACATAGGATGCTTAAACAATAATTTGACAAACTGAATATTTAATTCAATATGAAGGTTAACCTCATGGACACTCAGTTATTCATTCACAGAAAAACAGTCATCACCCTACTCCCACTTCCTCCTTCCCTTTCTTTTGCTTTATTTTGTAACACACTAGAAACACACATATCACTCACCCCCTTGTGGCCATTAACTGTGTTGATTGGTCCTACAACTTTCAGGTGAAAGGCAGGATTAAGATGGCCATTCTTTCGCTTATCTGCTGATCCCTCCATCCTGAGCACAGAAAGACAAAAAAATAAACAAGAGCCTGTTGCATGGAAGCTTCATCACTTCGCTCATTCTGACATTCTGGTTTTATGGCCCAAATTGAGAAATAAGAAAACTAGAACGGAACACGAAGCTTCTTATCCAGCTGATGTTAGTGGAAATGAAATTAAACAAATGCTTCCATCCAGTGATTAGACAAGTCTAACTGAGTGAGATGGTTCTTTGACTAAGCTACCATCTTAGAAATAATTTGTTCTAACCAGCCTATGGAATTTCTGTTTGTGTTTGTGATACCTTTACTGTTTGTTCATACTGAGCAACAAAAAGAGAGAAAAAAACCTCATTCTTAAAAATGCCCCATGCTATATCACACTGACAACCTTCAGCTTACAAGTGAGACATTAGCGATTGATAAGTACGCCAATGGAGGGGGCAGCACTATGGTCTGTTACAAAGACAGAGGCGAACCAATCAACAAATCATATTAAAATGGTTTACTGGCACCATTTTGCCTCTCATTCTGTACAAGTCATCGACCCTGGATCAGCAAAACAGCCCAGACCATCACACTTCCTCCTCCATGTTTGACAGTTGATGCCACACACTGTGGAATCACCCTACTCGACGGTGTACAAAAATCCTGTGTGATGAATCGAAGACTACAAATTTTGATTCATTAGCCCATTATACTCTGGTCTTCAGTACTCTAATTGCAGTGTTTCATGGCTGAGGCAAGCCTCTTTGTCTTATTCTGATGCCTTAGCAATGGCTTTCTTGCCGCAACTCGTCCTGTGAAACCTACAGCTTGAAGACCACTATTAAAGTGTACTTGAAGCTGTTTTCCAGTGAGCAACCTATTACGCAAGCTGTTAACTCTCAGAAACTTGTCCTCTGATTCATTTGTGGTTTTGGGTCTGCAGATCTCTTCCTGTCAGTTTGTTTCTGAGTACCTTTTGATGGTGAAAGAAACCACAGTGTGTTCCAACACTACTTTTATGCAGACAGAGGGGGTTGGAAGTACTCCAGAAAAGTTGCGAACACCTGTAGGAATTAGTAGTACCAGCTTTTAACGCTCAATCAACCTCCACTGCTGCAGAACTGCTTTAAATTGGTAACCCATTTTGTGTTCCCTGAAAAAAGGCATTTTTCTGTCATTCTAAAATGTACATTATTTTTCAGTTTTGAGCATCATAATACACCAGTGCATATTATATAGTTTTACTTGCTAGACCCCAAAATGAAAATGCTACTTTTTTTAAATTCTAGGCTTTCCTCTTTTTGTTGTATCAAGAAAATGTAGTGTTAAGAAACAGACAAACAGTGAAAGACAGACAGTACTTCTTGCATGTGTTCTTTTTTCTTTGGGAAAGCCACGTATGGTAATAAGAAGTCTTGATCCTGTGGCAGTAGAAGACCAGCAGCACTGCAGGTAAAACCACCAAGAAGGCAAACAACAGTCCAGCCACCAGCCCCACCTGACCTGTTGAAATACACAAACACATATATACATACACACTAATGTGTTTACTAGTATATTTATATGGCAATTGAAACACTTTAATTTAGATCAGCAAGTATCAAGGAAAAAGGGCCATCCATGTCAAAATTTTCTGTTTACTTCTAGTGATCGAACATTCTGAGCCTGTCAGCGAGTCAGAGGGAAAAACAATGTTAACTATAAAGTTATGTTTTGTTTATTTTCAGAGTGAGTATTAAGCTGTAGCAGGCAGCGGGTAAAGCCCAGGCTTGTGAAAGACAGGAGAAAAAGGAGGAGGAATAGAAAAAAGAAATGGACATGACAGAGAAAGAGAAAAGGAGAGAGAGAGAGACTTTGACTTTTAACACAACTTTATTTACACCACATTAAAAAGAAAAACCACGAAAAAGTCAAACCTAACACAAAGTTGCTACTACATCATCAGCAACATTAATATGCACTAACCATTTACTAACCCCAACCAAACTCACACACACATACTTAAAAATTAAGGACAAATGTCCCATCTGCTCCTACCGAACACAAAACCTGTCCAATCCCCCACATAGTTGTAAAGGAGTCCAGATCTTTAGTCAGAGAGTTAAAATCATGCTGTACTGTCAGACAGCATGTCTTTTATCCTGTCTTCCTTCTCTCACCCCAACCGGTCGCAGCAGATGGCCCCGCCCCTCCCTGAGCCTGGTTCTGCCGGAGGTTTCTTCCTGTTAAAAGGGAGTTTTTCCTTCCCACTGTCGCCAAAGTGCTTGCTCATAGGGGGTCATATGATTGTTGGGATTGTTGGGTATCTACTTTGCAATATAAAGCGCCTTGAGGCGACTTTTGTTGTGATTTGGTGCTGTATAAATAAAACTGAATTGAAATTGAACAATCCCTTTAAACTATGCACAGCATCAGTCCAACCCTGACCTAACATTCTGGTTCTTCCTAGTCTTCCATATTGCCAGCTTTGGATGTACCAAACAAAAAATATAATCAACAGGTCCGTCTTTCTACACTGAATACTTAGGGCCAAAGACAAACAAAGGTACAGAGAAAGTCTCCCCCAAAGATTCCACCCACTCCTGCAACAAAGAAAATAAACCCACTAGCCGCGGACAACAGACCACTAAGTGCTCCAGCGTCTCCCTCTCTGAACAAAAAGGACAACCCTCCCCAGTGCTTGGGTCCAGGTGGGCTCTGTGTCTGTTCGTGGCTATTGCTCCATGTATAATCCTCCACTGGAGGTCAGCCATCCGTTTTTCAACAGGAGGCTTATATGGACCCTCCACCTGCAGGTAACACAGCTGTAATATAGCTGCTTCTTTCCACAAGAGCTGAAACTATCTAGCACTGATGTTCTCAGGGAGAGAAGTAGGCTCCCCTCAGGCTGCTCCTTAAAGGCAGGACTGACCATCAAGGAGAGAAAAACATATCCGCTGTCATCAGCCCATTGATCAGCTAGGACACAGTTTCCAGTAAACTCTCCCAGTGATGCCGACAGGGATTGCCAAGTTTCCTCCACAATCCTTCCCAGCACTCTGGAGCCCTGTGACACACCCAAGAGTTCCCATTGACATCCTTGTGAGATGGCCCAGTTTGATAATATCAGTCTCCACAAACTTGCTCCTTATAGTGGCAGTAGAAAACACAGTACTTGGAAAAAAGTAATTAAAAAACAGCGGCTCTTCAAAAAGCCACATCCCAGGTCTGGGGTCAGGAGTCTGTGCGAAAGTCATCACTCCCCAAGTAAAACCCAAGAGTTTTAATAGCCCTTTAACCCCATCAAAGATTCCCAGGGAGTCTAGAAATACATGCCAAACTCCACTGCCCCACTAAACACACCTCACTCTTCTCCCAATTAACTCTGGCTGAAGAAGCTTTTTCATATAAAACCAAGATTTCCTTTAATTCCTGAACATCATCTTGATCCTTAACAAAAACATTAACATCATCAGCGTATGCTGACACAATAACAGGAGGGCTCTGAGCAGATCTGGCAAAGAGAAACCCCTCAACTTGCTCCTCAATCTACAGAGAAAAGGCTCAATAGCAATGCTATAGAGCTGGCTGAGATAGGGCAACCCTGCATAATCGCTCTCCTAACTGGCACAGGGCAACTCAACCCTCCTCCCACCTTCACAACACAGCAAGTGTCGCTATACCACAGCTTCACCCATGTCTGGAACCCCTGCCCAACAACAAAGGTCTTCTGGGTGGAAAAAAGAAAAGCATGGTCTACACGGTCAAAAGCCAACTCTAGTATAGCATAGTTTACATATGTCAAATACATCTCTCATTAAAAATAAATTATCTATCATAGACCTATCTGGAATACAATAAGATTGATCCACACCAGTCAACAGTTAAATGACCATTTTCAGTCTGTTCGATAAAACCTTGTAAAGAATCTTATAGTCTGCACATAAAAGGGGCACTGGTCTCCAGTTTTTAAAAAGGGTTAAATCTCCCTTCTTTGGTATGAGAGAGATAACTGCACGCCTGCAGGAAGCTGGAAGTATCCCTTCTATAAAACATTCCTTAAACATCCAGTAGGTCCAGACCCAGAAGACTCCAGAAGTGCTTAAAAAAGTCTGATGGTAAACCATCTATTCCTGGAGCTTTGCCTGAAGCCATCTGAGATACAGCAGCAGACGGCTCATTCAAAGTTATATCCATGTTTAAGATGTCCCGATCCTCTGGACCGAGTTGAGGAAGCCCCTGCAAAAGTTCTGAAGCAGAGTCTACATCGCTGCTATCTGCCCTGAACAAGTCTGTGTAAAAGTCCACCGCATGCCTTCTCATCTCAGCTGGATCTGTGATCACATTTTCATTTGAAAGACGAAGACACACCATTTGTTTTCTCTGGGCTACAGACTTCCCCAAATTAAAGAAAAGGTTGAGGCGTCCATGTCCTGGAGTCTGGTGAAGCATGCTCGAACCAAAGCTCCTTTAGCTCTCTCATATTGAAAATGATCAAGCTCTTGTCTTTTAGAATTTAAACAGTCATTACATTACAACAGTCATTATTCTGCTGATCTAACTGTGAACCAGAGACATTCTTTTTATGTTTTATCACTTTTTTACTCCTGCAGAGCTCTCTTGATATTGGCTGTCAAATTAAAACCATATTGCTGCTGCAAAACACACAAATCTGGGCCTTTCCTACTTCCCACTATTGAGTAAGGGAATTAAAATCTTCCCTCCTTGATCTCCAGTAATCCCTCCCAAAAACTGAAATTTTCACAGAAAATCCGATCATGAAATAATTTTACATTAAATCGCCAAAAGGATTTGGATTTGTTGGTGGGAGATAGAAACAGCTCCATTAAAACTAAGTGACGATCTGTAAAAATAACAGGAAAACAGTGACAGTTAACAATTCGAGCAGTAAACAAAGAAGACACATAAAACCTGGCCAATTTCACTACACTAACTCTGCCATCAGTTACTTTCACCCATACTTCAACCCGTGGTTGAAAGATGCTTCATCCTCAACGCATCAACCAAGTTAATTTTTTGTAGAACATCTGATAAAGCAGAAGACGACTGAAGATGCGGCTCCTCCCCAGTCCCATCCAAAGTAAAATCAAGACAACAATTCCAGTCCCCACCCAATACAACACAGTCCCCTTGATCAGCACCTCTTAATTTCTCTTTTAATGTTTAAAAACAAAACCTTACGCTCAGACCCTAAGTTTGGTGCATAGACATTAATCAAAGTAAAAATAAAAACTTCTATTTCAGCTCCGCGCTTTACTCCATGCTGAAAGTAATATTTGCATTTAGAGAAGGAGAAAATAAAATAGCAACACCTGTGCTAAAATTTGTCCCATGGCTAAAAAACTGCTACCCCACCACAGACCCGTCTACTTCATTTGTACTGTCAGTATGTGTTTCTTGAAGACTATATCTAGTCTCTTCTGCTTGATTACTTCTTATTTGCATCCCTGCACCCATTCACATTCAAGGAGGCTACCCTCAACCCCTGCACATAAGAGGTAGCCATCAAGAAAGGAAACAGCAAACAGAGATGAAACATCCAGTGTTGCAGGATCATGGCGATAATGCTTTTTACCATCCAGCACACCAAAAATGTTCAAATATATTGAAGGTGAAAAAACATTTTCTTTAAGGCATAGGTTTATGTTGTATACTCACTGCCATACTGAACCGGCCCACTGTCCACACTGCCACCAAGTCCTGGCTTCTCACAGAAGGGTGGTGCCCAGCCTTGATTACAGTGGCAGTTCCCATTGCTGTTACACACCTGAATATTATACACACAAAAGAAATGTCTTAAGTTGGTCTCTGACCCCTTTCTCTCCCTTTGTATACATGTCTGTGTGTGTGATTGTGTGCATGCTTGGATGTTTGTGACTACCTGGAGGTGTATTAGTCAATGCATTAAGGCATTGTGTGCTTGTATTTATTTATATGAGCATTTATCTCAACACTATGAAATTTTCATACTGGAGAAAAAACTGCATATTGAATATTTTAAATATTCCTGACTTCAGCTAATTTCTAATATTTTCACTGACAGCGGCGAAGAAAGAGATTAAAGGAGACTCTATGCTTGCATTTTCTTGTTACTCATATTGTTTCAAATACTAATTCAATCCTGATATAATAGACTCTGTCAGGTGAGACAGGATCCACTTCGAACAAGCTGCTGAGCAGTTCAAAACACAAACTAGGCTGTGCCAACTAGGGTTATTCTCATAACATATGTGTAAAACTGGGCATTGGAAAAACTTTGCCCTGGTCAAGACACACCAAGCTACAATCAAGCACGGCCACACAAATACCAGCTCGAGCCTCCATTCTCTGCCAGATTGTCTGCTAATCACTGGCAACTTGGCCTCCAAATGATTTTGTTTTTGACAAGTCTGGACTAAGCTACCTTGCAGTCACCTATTTGCCTGCCCTCTGGACTCAATTCACCTCTAGGCTCGCTAACAAAATCTATCAAACACCTTCATTATGCAACCATAATACACCAGACAGAACCTGTCCACTTGGACCTAGTCTCTGGCAATCACAGGGAATCTGTCACCTTTGTCACCTTTTCTGTTTCCAAGACTCCTTGGTTAGCAAGACATAACCCCCATACTGACTGGTCAAAAGGGCGAGTGCAGAGCTGGAGTTTGTTTTGCCTGGCTCACTATTTAAAATCAGCTCTGCCTCCTGCTTTAAATAGTCCCCAGACAGAACCCGAGCCTAAGCCTGATTTATCCTCTGTGCCACTAGCATATCATGACTTACATGAGGTTTTTAATAAAGATAAAACATTATTTCTTCCTCTGCACAGGCTCTATGATTGTGCCATAGACCTCCTCCCTGGTGCTCCGTTGCCTCCGTCCTGTAAAGACTGAAGGTGCTGCCTCCCATTCTATTGTACTTTTAAATATCCTAGGAACAACAAGTAAACAAGTGGTCTCTGAGAGAAGTACTATATTGGGGTGATATAGTACTTGAGGTCTCAAGGATAAGATGGGGCTTGACAATTCAAGACCTTGTATGTCAGGAGAAGAATTTTTAATCTTACTGAATTTAACAGGGGGCCAGTATGGGTGAAATATAGTCTCTCTCTCTAAACCCTGTCAGTACTCTCGCTGCAGCATTTTTTAAATCAAACTGAAGGCTTTTCAGGGAGCTTTTAGGAGTGCATGATAATAATGAATTATTAGAAGTGCAGGAACTAGTTTTTCAGCATCAGGATGTTTTTAGTTTTAAGATGTTGCACACATGGAAGAAGACAGTGTTTCATATGCACACTGAAGGACAATCAAAATTGACTCCAAGACTTCTTACAGTGTTACTGGAGGCCAAGGTAATGCCATCCAGAGTAAGCATCTGTTTTGACACCATGTTTTGTTGTGTGACG